TAAATTGCTCCGTTCCGTTGCTGCGTGAACAAAGGACAAAAACAAATAAACAAAAAATCACACTTTCACATTTATAATATTATATTAGTATGAATTGTCAAGAATGATAGATAAACTTTTAAAACCGGTTTACAATCGGCTTTTTGAGGGTGGAAATATACCGGTTACACTATAACGGTTCTGAGTGACCAAAAAGGATAGATGCACAGGAAAGTGCAATTTCATGCTGCCAGATGTAGTTCAACCCAAACCCTTAAAACGGTTTAACTCTATAGGTTGGGTAAAATCTGTAAAATTAGACTGTTTAAAACCCCTATCCAGATAACCTTTGTGGTTGATCATGACATTAAAAAATGGTAAAAACATTTCATAGACTAGGCAACACTCGAATATTATTGCGCAGTATTATTACTTGTATTGACATTTAGCTTTCGTATTCTTTTACAAAGAAATACACCATAAAATTGTATAGTTACTTATGAAATGTGATGTTCTCATCCTTATCTTTTTTCCAAGAGTGATTTTTAAATGATTTCACAGCACAAACAGTCATTTTGCGAAATTAAAAACACCGGTGCGTGACGTATGTTCACATCGAACGTCGCTGGCGTAATGGCGGAACGATCGAATGAATACGCCAATATTGGCGCCTTTGAAATGGAAGCATTTTAGTTGCGCGTACACGGTATCTGGACCTATAAAATATCTTTGTGCTGCGCAATATAAACTAACAGCTTCACTTGCGTACAATTTTTTTATCTGCAATTTTTCATTGTCGATAAGGGTATGTACTCGTTTATACCTAAATTAGCTTTAATTTTTTGTAAAACTTTGACCGCCTTGTTGATACAGTGATCGTGTGAGGGGGAGGAGGAGTTGTCCTCTCCCAAAATGGGGTCTCTGCCATTTGGCGGTCGATGCTGATAGGGCCACGGATGTGTGCCAATGCGTTTCTGTAGTCCTGCCAATAAGCGACGTAAGTGAAACACCGTTAAGTGGTAATCAGTGCAAATCCAACATAAAAAGTCTTTGCTCCCGAGAAGTAGGTATTTGTAGGCATTTTTCCATGTAAAAAAGTGGTCACAAACTCGGGTCGGACCAAAAATCAGTCATTATTTTCGGTAAAAAATTTGTATGTAGCAGCTCTTAGTCTGGAAGAATAGAATAGAATATTTTTATTCGATATAGATTATTACATAATATTTATTGAAAGTCAATTTTTTATGTACCACTGGTTCGGAAAATACCTCTGTCTTGGGAAGAACCAGCAAGAAATCCAGCGACACTTTTTTAACATATTTCACTTTACAATTTTTTTTTTTATACAATTTTTAAATGAATTTTAATAGAACCAGCATGGTGGCGATTACCTCATTCCTAGGGGTTATTTTCATTTATGTATTCTTTGATATTATAATTATCCTTTTTGTAAAAGTTTTCTTTAATAAAATATTTAAATTTAAACTTGTTTATTGACAAATTATGTATTTTTACTGGGATTTTGTTGTAAAGGCGTATGCATTGCCCTATAAATGAATTACTAATTTTGTGGTAGCTCAGATGGTTAGCGCTCACAACAAAAATTCTCAGTACACGTCCTACATTTAGTAAAATTTTAATTAAAAAAGTAATAATTTTAAATCAGATGTTTAGTTTCATTAATTTTAATAAACTGCTGCACAAAAATCAATTCGGTTTTACAGGGTCGCTCGACAACTGACGCTGGAGCTGAGGTTATTAAACATATTTTTTGTAAATGTGAGAATTCAGAGAATGCTTTGAGTATATTTTGTGACCTTTCCAAGGCCTTCGACTGTGTTCACCATGAGACATAAATCAGGAAGCTACATTACTATGGTGTCAAGAACACAGCTCTTAAACTTATTTTTTCATATTTAAGTAATAGAATGCAGAAAGTTAATATCAATGGTAAAAGTTCTTCCGGGTCACCTGTACTAATGGGTGTCCCTTAGAGCTTGATTCTCGGCCCATTCCTATTTCTAGTGTATATTAATGACTTACCTTCCCTTGTAGGGGATAATCATGATATAGTATTATTTGCTGATGATATTTCCTTGGTTTTTAAACTTAAACGTCAATCATTTAAATGTGACGAAGTGAATAATGCTATATCAATATATATATATATATATATATATATATATATATATATATATATATATATATAAAACTATTGACATTAAACCAATGCACTAATCTACATTTAAACGGAAATAAAACTAAATGTATTAAATTTACAACATCGAATGTTAAAATCTGAATACCAATGTGTATTTAAATGGGCAAGAACTGAGCCCTGTTGAATTCACTGTTTTTCTTGGCATAACTCTCGACTCAAAGCTTCAGTGGGGCTCCCATATATCCAAACTAGTAAGCGGAATAATTTCTACAGCCTATACTGTAAAAAAGATTAGAGGTCTTACTAGTGTCGAGACAGCTAGATTAGTTTATTTCAGTTATTTCCATAGCATAACGTCTTATGGGATTTTGCTATGAGGCAATGCGAATTATTTAGAAACTATTTTTGTTTTACAAAAGAGGGCAATTAGAGCTATTTACAACCTAAAATCGTGAGAGTATATTAGAGATAAATTTAAAGAAATTAAATATGTTAACTTTGGCCTCTCAGTATATTTACAAAAATTTAATGTATGTTCACAAAAACAAAGGTAGTTTTAGTAAAAAAAGTGATATACATTCTGTAAGCACTAGGAACAAACACAAGCTAGTGATACCAGTTTCTCGACTTCACAGAGTCAGCAATTCATTCTTGGAGCAAGTTATACGCCATTACAACAAGGTCCTGGAAAGTGTACAGGCTCTCTCTATTACCAGGCTTTAATGTTTTGTTAAGCTGAAACTGTATAAAAAACGTTATTATAATATAAATGAATACATCGCATTTGGGACTGAGGTGGTCGCTTCCAAGCAGTTTCTAAATTAAATTTTATAAATAGTTTTTACAACCATTAATTTAAAATTTACTTTTAAAAAATTCCCGCTGGGTTTCTTGTTGGTTCTTCCCAGGACAGAGGGATTTTTTCGAACTAGTGATAAAGTAAAAAATGACTTTAATAAGAATTACACATGTTATCTATATTGAATAGAAAATATTCTATTCTATTCTATTCTATTCTATTCCATTCTATTCTATTCTATTCTAACCCGTGTTCGATTCTCGCCGACACCAATGAAGTTTTTAATTGCAAATTTTATGTGCTGATTTACCACGTGCTCGGCGGTGAAGGAAAACATCGTAAGATCATCATGCCTGAGAAATAAGAAAAAAATATTTCGAAGACATGTTAAGTCGGCAAACATGCATTGGGGCAGCGCGGCGGACATTTGCTTCCCTAATAAAACCTTTTCAGAAATGAGAGGAGGCCTGTACCTAGCATCGGGACGTATATAGGCTGTAGTGTTGCCCAAATGCAAGAACAAGACGAGACTTAGCCAGTCTTGGTCTTGGTCTTGCGCCAATACACCTGGTCTTGTTCTTGGTCTTGGTCTTGCAGCAAGAGTCTCGCAAGTCTCGCAAGCCTATTGCTATTTATTAAACGTTACTTTATCTATATATATGATCTTAGAACAACTTAACACAGTAGGCACATTTTGAACTTGAATTAACATAGCCATAGAAAGATCAACCAAATTAATAAATGTCTAAACATTTAATGAGAAATTCGAAAAATCAACTAATACCGGGTGGGGTTTGAACCCACGACCTAAGCGATCCGTGCCGATGCTCTAACCAACTGAGCTGTCTACCATGTCTCACGGCCACGGGAGTTAGTCTGTTTCTTAATAAACGTTTACATTTAATAAGCTTACATGTGCTAAAACTTAGTCAAAACATATAAAAAACAAATTAATGACATTAACTTGACTGTATTATAAAGAAGTTTATCTGTCTAGAAAGAGACTGATAGACCCTTATATGAAATGGAAGAAAAGAGTTATACAATTTACCATTTATTTAAATAAAAAAATAAAATACAATGCAAATTAAATTACATAACAGTACACAACAGTTTTGACATTACTGTTACTTTATATTAATTCTTTTGACCAAGAATTAATACAAAGTAACCATCTGGCTGACTCATCACTTAACCTTTTTCTATGTTTTCTTATTACTAATGATGCTTTGGAAAATAATCTCTCAGCAGGTACTGAAGTTGCAGGTATTGAAAGAAAATCATGGGCCATCTTCGATAAAGTACGATATTCTGTCTCATGCGTCCTCCACCACTCTAAAATGTCTTCCGAACTGGCGGCTCTGGGTTTACTTAGGTACTCCTCCAACTCGTCTATAACTAAGCCTTGATGAAAAGATACAGATCCAGATGACGTCGAGGGACATGCATACAGTTTCTCAAAGTCTATTACGTCTTCATCTTCATCATATTCACATACTTTCTTTTCATTTCTTGGTGATTCTAGAGATGTATTCACTGAGTGTAGACTTTTATATTCTTTATAAAGTTCATTAAATTTGCGCAGGCTTTCTGTTTTAATTTGCTTCCCCCATAATGTCATGTCAAAAGTCTGAGTTTTATGCCTTGGGTCTAAAATTAAAGAGGTACAATAAATCCAGTTGCTCTTTTTATAATGTTTAAGCATTTTGTCTCGAGCTGCTTGAAAACCCAGAATGAGCCTTTCACCCACTTCGGATCGATTAGGTTTCTCATCTAATTGTTATACCATGGATTCAATTTTATCGAGCAAGAGATTGAATGATACAATGACTAGCGGTAATGTAACATATTTTTCTCCACCAAGTTTCGTTGATAGAAGTTTAAAGTTTATTAGAAACTTATGTATTTTTTCGAGTATTTGCCATTCACTATCTGTGATTTGAAAATCATTCAGTTCGGTGACAGAAGTGCACAATATGTTAATGCCAGTTCTCACTTTTAAACCAAATCCAATCATATCATGTGTGGAATTCCATCTCGTTGGACAGTCGAGTATGGGGTTCAGATTTGATGGCACGCCAGCTGCTTCACAAGCAGACTGAATTTCCTCTTTAATATCTCACTTCTTTTTATTTTACTGCAAATACTGCGTAATTTTGTTATAGCTGTAAGTGAGTCAGCAATATTTGGCGCATATTCTTCATCTTCCTCAGTTTCGTCTTCATTGTCTTCATACTGCTGTTCTTGTCCCTTATTGTCAGTTTCACTGTGTCTTGCTAAGGTCTTTAATAAATCTTGTACACCAAGGTTCAAAATGTGAGCAAAGCACCGGAAATGTTGATTGTCTAAATCAAAGTGTGGCAGCTGTTTGTCCAATTCATGCATAAATTTGGTATTTGAAGTTGCGTTGTCGACCGTGATACCCTGTATTTTATCAATTATGTCATATTCCAATAAACATGCGTGGAAAATCGTTGCAATATCTTCCCCAGTATGTCGACCGCGTGATGGTATAAAATCAAGGACTACAGATCGATACTTCCATTCATTGTCTATATAATGAATAGTGACCCCGTAGTAACTTCTACCAGCAATTGACGTCCATCCATCAATGGTAAATGACATTTTAGATGAAAATTGTTGTAGTCGTTTCTTAAGATTCAATTAAAGCTCTTCAAACCGTTCTTTGACCTTCCTTCTAAGTGTGGACCTTTTAGGAAACACCATATTTGGGCAAATTGATCGAAAATATACTTGTGTAGCTTCGTCATCGAAAAATGAGAAGGGAATATATTTTTTAACCATACAATCAACTGTAGCTGTCGTGATGTTGTCACTGCTATTTTCAGACTGACATAAAACAGTAAATCATGTGTCTCGCCGATTATAAAAACAAATGAAAATATGAGTGAATTATAAATACATATTTAACACTATAATCATAACTAACTAACTATAATATATATATATATATATATATATATATATATATATATATATATATATATATATATATTTGGGGTCATTGTAGAAGCGTGCTCGTCACGACCCCTGCCAGCCCTTTTCAGGGCTGCAATTCTACTCAGCTGCGCACCCATGTCAACGAGGGTTAGGGCGTCCCCCCAAGGCGACGCACACCAGCTCGTCCCCGTTGGTGTGGAATGCAGCGCGCAAAGCGGCGATGGGGACCGCCACCCGTCACGCACAGCCCGACACGGCGGAAGGTGGAGGACGGAGTGCAGAGTTGGCACGTGGAATGTTAGAGGAGGCATGAGAGATAAGACGAATGAGTTGATCGAAATAATGAAAGAAAGAGAATTAGATGTCGTGTGTATGTCGGAGACCAAACGGAAGGGCAGTGGTACTGAAGAGCTCCCTGGCGGGGCGTTAGCTCTATGGTCCGGAGTCCCGGAGAGCGAGAACGCCTGCCAGGGAGTGGGGGTGCTGCTGTCTTCTCGGTTGGTCGATATTATGACTGAATATAAGTTTGTGAACTCAAGACTTCTCTGGGTTCGCTTTAAATTGGGACTGACGAAGTTATTCCTTTTGGCTGTTTATGCGCCGGTGGCTTCGTCGTCCAGGGCTGAGCTGGAGGAGTTTTGGGAGAATGTAAGAGAAGTTCTAGATTTGGCTAGGGGAAACGAAAGGATTGTTGTATGTGGTGATTTGAATGGATGGGTTGGTACCGCTCGACCAGGGTACGAGTCGGTACTTGGAAAGTTTGGCGATAAAAGGGTTAATGATGCTGGCAAGCTTATACTGGCGGTATGCAAGGAAAAGGGTCTTCTTGTGACAAACACTATGTTTAATCACAAGAAAATCCATATGTATACTAGAGAAAGAAAGAATGAGAGAAGTATGATCGATTTGTTCCTGGTGGATGACCGACTGCGAAAACAGGTTATGGATACGCGAGTGTTCAGGGGTGCTGACCTAGGAACGGATCACTATCTAGTGATTACTAGATTTAGGGGTCTGTTCGCGGGTTGGCGCTACCGGACGACAGTGACAGAACCACAGTCGGTCTGTCGCATCCGAAGCTGGAAGCTTCAGGAAGCGGATACTAGGGACAAATATCATGCGAGGGTAGCCGAAAAGCTTGACACCATCGATGGCAGAAACGAATGTGTAGAAAGAACTTGGCAGAACCTTAGGGATGGAATGGTAAGTGCAGCGGAAGAAGTGTGTGGAACAATAAAAAGAGGCAGTAGTAAAAGAAGAGATGCATGGTGGAATGATGAAGTGAAAGAAGCTGTAAAGAAGAAGAAGAAAGCATGGTTAGACTACTTGGCCTCTAGTAATGATAAGGATATGAGAGAGAAGATGAAAGAAAGATATAAGCTGCAGAAAGTTCACACGAAAGCATTGATTGAGGAAGTGCGTGAAAGGTGTAGAATGGAAGCGGATGAAAGGTTGTCGCACAACTTTAAGGAGAACTCCAAACTCTTCTGGAAAGAGGTTGGAAGGACCCGAAGTGGTGCGACGGCCTTAAGAATGAACAAAGTGCTTTCGAGAACTAATGACGTGTGGTGTCGGTACTATGATAAAACAATATAACAGGAATATTAAATGATATCATCACTCAACGTGGACTCCATATAAGGAGTAGAAATAACATCTATTTGGTTCAGTAATATCATATTATATTTATAGAAGAAGATACCATTCATGTGGCTCTACCTGGAACCACGTAACACAAACCCTGCCCCCTACCTATGTACCTACGTCACAACCACTATATATAAGTCTCCTCCAACCCAATAAAGAGAGAATTATTAAACTGCATCACTGAGTTTAAATTACTTCTTGTCCAAACATTACATGGCGACCCTGCCAGGATTCGAACCTGGAATCTTCTGATCCGCAGTCAGACTGCTTAAAAATCAAAAATTGGAAATAAATTAATGTTTCGTTTAATATAAACTTAGCTGTAATAGTGATAACCAATTATTTTCTGTAGGTTATACGGTTTCCTAAATTTCTAGAAATCCAAAATTTTTATATGTAATTAAATGTATAACTAATGCTAATATATTTTTCGATATAAGTAAAAGTAATATAACTATAAGCGATGCGATGTAATTATATTATAAACTTCTGTGTCAGTTAGAAAATATTTAAAAGTATCATTTTAATGTGATAAGGAAAATAATCATTAAAAGAGGTTTTAATAATAATGTTTCTGAACAAAGTTAAACACGGACATGAAAAGTTGTTGACAAAAAAAAAAAGTTATCTCATTTTTGTACAATATTAAAAATTATATATTTAAAAGGCGTGAGGAATGAGAGAATGAATGTTGAAATGTGTGGATACGAATGATGGAATTGCAAAGTTTCGTCAATATTGGACTGATCACCCAAATATTTGATGATGCTTAAAATCCTGGTATTGAAACCATTATGAGCGAGAATTATGAAAGTTAGTAATGGAAATGGAGTATGAAAGTATATAAAAGTTACCGATACAGTCAAGTAGATAACAGCAGGTACTATAAAGATAAAGAAAGAAATAAAAATTTACGAAGAAAATCAAAATAAAATAAAAGATGACCTTGATAAATAAATCATGGAGAGACACGGGAACGTCCATCACTGGTGAAGCATATAGTCCTCGAGCAGGGTATGTTTCCATGATTGGATGATAAAATCGGAAGTAACGGGTACTAGGGAACAATACCTTCAGTACAAGTGAGATGTGAACGAGTTTACTCATATTAGTACTGTTGGGGACCAGAGAAGTCTTAAATTTGTTACCCTTAATAATGGTACATAGAGGTCACATCCTTCGTTGGATCATAGTGTGAACTTAGTTTTCCTCCGTGACAATTGTTGGAGTCTTTTAAAATGACTTAAACGTTGACCTCAAGGTTGTGCGCACAACCCAAGGTACAGTTTTACCTTGATATAGTATGATAAAAAAAATATGTACCAATAAAATAAAATGAATGTAATGAAAATATAATACCCAAGTAAATGGGGGGCCCATATTTATAAAGTACCCGCGTGATAAATATCACGAAATAAAATATAAATGAAGTGAATTAATACTCCGATTCCTGGTATCTAATAAATAAATAAATATATAAAGCTAGCTAAAGGTCAAAAAAAAATAATAAGAGATAAAAGAAAGTACGTACAAAAATTATGAAAAAAAGGCCTGACAATCGAAAACAAAGGATATGAGAGTAGTGTTAGTATTTATGAAAATATATAACACGCAAAGACATGAGAACAATTAAAATGAGGTAATAAAGGGATCCCTCGAACAAATCTAAAAAGTTAGATATTATGTAGTTATTTCGCATTTCTATATTATTACCTACAATCCTACTCAAAAGGCTACTTAGAAGCTACACATCTAGTAACTATAGGAACGATCCACACAACCACACAAAAAAAAAACCCAATTAAATTTGATAAATACATTTTCGCGTAGATTTACATTAATTTACGATTTTTTTTATTTATGCACATTGACTCATAGTTACAATAACTCTACCTTAAACTTCTCGTGTTATATTTTTTTTTTGTTGTTTATGAATAATTTGTACAATTTTAAACAAAATTTGGTATATTGCTTACTAAAATCAAATCCAAAGCGTATCGATACTCTATTATTATAAGTTTGATAATGTAATAATATTTTTTTTTCTCTATATAGACAGTCAAACCTAAGTTTACGTTAATACATATTTACTTAAAAAAAAAAAATTGTCTTCAAATGTTAAACAAATATTTTGTTATAACTTCTAAATTATTTTTATTAAACTTAACTTTATATTTTAAACTCTGTATTCAATTAAGATCAAGAATCTTGAAATCTAAAATTAAAAAAAGTAATAATGTGTATTCGACTTTTATGAATAACTTAAATAATAAATATTCGATAATGTATGTAAATGTATTATAACAATGCCATGTAACCATCTTAACTACGTACATTAAAAAGTGCTTGATACTGTAATTTTCAAATACTTTTAAGTGTACTCATAATAAAACAATTTGTAAGTTATTTTGAATTAGATATTATGTATGTGTCATACGATGTAATTTCAAACCTTTCCTTATACGTGCTTTGTGGACTTTATAACAAAGGTGTGTCACAAACCGCTTACGCGGCTGTTGCAAGATGTATTTTGATCTCTGTTGTTATGATCATGATTAGGTTGCATTACATTATGTTCTTTGTTCTGTTCATCTTAAAATGAAATGTAATATTTTCGGTGATAAATCATATGCTTTTAATTTTTATAAGTCATCGTTCTCTGGAAAAATTGTTAAGTATTAATATATAACCTATTTGTGTGGATCATAAAAGTAACGATTAATCAAATACAAAGGTATAAATAAGTGAAGTATAAAGTATTATAATTGTATACTAATAGTATAAAATGTGAAAAAATATATAAGGAAGAGTAGATAGTACTTAATGCGAGTATCCGGATAAGTTACTTAATAAATGACTAAATAACTCAATATCTAAGTACGTTACAATAATGTGTCAACCAAAATAATATACCTTCACGAATGTTCACCTAATTATGTCAAATACGTATGTTGTATGTATGCATCATACTATTTTTAATGTGACTGACGAATGTGTTTAGGAGGTTTGGCCAGCCG